AAATAGCAGAGTACAGGGCCAACATATTCCAATAACAAAACAGGGTAGGACCAACAAAATGTAGATTAGGCTGCAGCTAGAGTGTTATGTGCAGTTGTGGTGTTCATATTATATGGTGGAATAGATTTCACCAGGTGAGGGTTCAGAGGAAATTTACCAGGATGTTGTCTGGCCTGGAGATTTTAATTGTGAAGAGAGATTTGGATGGACTGGGATTGCTTTCCTTCCAGCAGAGGAGACTGAGGGGGGGTCATGTGGCTCGGCAACAGCACAACTGATGGAGCTAGTTTGATCCTAAAGGACATAGCCACTTGACTGTGTCTACAGCAGGTGATGATGGAACCAACAAGAGGGAAAAGCATATTTGACTCCACCCTTATAAATCTGCCAGCTGCAGATACATCTGTCCATGACAGTATTGGTAAGAGTGGCTACTACGGTTATTGCCTTCATGTTCTATCACTGTGCTAAATGACAGACTTCAAGCAGATCTAGCACCTCAAAACTGGGCATCCACGAGGCACTGTGACCATCAACAACAGCAGAATTGTACTCCAGCACAATTTGCAACCTCACGGCCCAGCATATCCCCCATGCAAACATTACTATCAAGTCAGGGGATCAATCTGGTTCAATGGGCATGCCAGGAGCAGCACGAGGCATACCTAAAAATGAGAAGTCAATCTGATGAAACTACCCATCAGGACTACTTGCCTGCCAAACAGCATAAGCAGCAAGTGATAGACAGAGCTAAGCAATCCCACAACCAGATCAAAGCTCTGCACTTCTGCCACATTCTGTCGTGATTGGTGGTGGACAATTAAACAACTCATTGGAGGAGGAAGAGGATCCACAAATATCCTCATCCTCAATAATGGAAGACCCCAACGCAACAGGGCAAATCATAAGGCTGAAGCATTTGCAGCAATCGTTAACAAGAAGTGCCAAGTGGATGATCTATTGTGACCTCCTTCAGTGATCCCCAGCATTAAAGATACCAGTCTTCAGCCAATTCAGTTCCCTCCATATAATGTCATGAAATGGTTGGAGGCACTGGATACTGCAAAGGCTTTGGGTCCTGCCAACAGTACTAAAGACTTGACCTCCAAAACTTGTAGCTCCCCCAGCCAAACTCATCCAGTACTCTTACAACACTGGCACCTACCTGACAAAGTGGATAATTGCTCAGTTATGTCCTGTACATAAAAAGCAGGGCAAATTCAACCCAGCCAGTTACCGCCCCATCAGTCTACTCTTGATCATCAGTCAAGTGTGGAAGGTGTAATCAACTGTCTTCCTATGTGCAAGCAGCATCTGCGCAGCAGTAACTTGCTCAATGATGCCCAGTTTCGGTTCCGCAAAGGCCACTCAGCTTCTGACCTCATTACAGCCTTGGTTCAAACACAGCTGAATTCCAGAGGTGAGGAGAGAGTGACAGCCCTCGTCATTAAGCCTGCATTCAACTGAGTGTGGCATCAAGGAGCCCTAGCAAAACTGGAACCAAATGGGTATCAGGGACAAATTCTCCACTGCTTGGAGTCGTACCTTGCACATAGGAAGATAGTCATGATTGTTGGAGGTCAATCATCTCAACTCGAGAACATCTCTGGAAGAGTTCCTCAGGGTGATGTCCTAGGTCCAACCATCTTCAGCTGCCTAATCATCAAGTTTCCCTCCATCATAAGTTCAGAAGTGGGGATGTTTACTGATGATTGCATAATATTCAGAACCATTTGGGAATCCTCTGATCCTGAAGCAGTCAATGTTCAAAGCAACAAGACCTGGACAATATCCAGGCTTTGCTGATAACTGGCAAGTAACATTTTCACCACACAAATGTCAGGCTATGACCATCACCAATAAGAGACAATCGAACGACCACCCCTTGACATTCAATGGTGTTACCATCACTGAATCCTTCACTATCCACATCCTTGCGGCTATCATTGACCAGAAACTCCACTGGACTCACCACATAAACACTGGCTACAAGAGCAGGTCAGAAGCTAGGAATATGACGGCGAGTAACACACCTCCTAACTCCCCAAAGCCTGTCCACCATCTACAAGGCACAAGTCCGTCACCTTTCCGACTACACTCGTAGCTTGCCATCCAGGACAAAGCAACCTGCTTGTTTGGCACCATATCCACAAGCATCCACTCCCTCCTCCACGGATGCTCAGTTGCAGCAGTATGTCTGGCCTACAAGATGCACTACACAAATTCATCTATGATCCCTAGACAGCACCTTCCACACCCAGGATCATTTTCATCTAGAAGGACAAGGGCAGGTGATGCATGGGAACACTACCACCTGCAAGTTCCCCTCCAAGACATTCACCGTCCTGAGGAAACATATCGTCATTCCTTCACTGTCGCTGGGTCAAAATCCTTGAATTCTCTCCTGAATGGTATGTGGGTCAACCCACAGCAGGAGGACTGCAGCGGTTCAAGAAGGCAGCTCACCACCACCTTGTCAAGGGTGACTAGGGACGGGTAATAAATGCTGGCCGGCTAGCAACACCCATATCCCACAAATGAATTTTTAAAAAGTGTTTACATTATTTCTGACACAGTAATGGTGTTCAATCAAACATGCTAATATTTTAACATTTGCTTTGTGTCGTAAACCTTATCTTTATTATTTTGTTACCAATGCATATTTCAGTTCATGCTGGTAATTTTGAAAATACATTTGTTACATCCTGCATTCTGATTTAGAATCAACAAGCTATCCTCCTGACCTGTCTCTTCCTCGGCTAACTTGTACACCTGTTTCAGGGATATTTTGGGAATTCTGCCCACCACAACGATGTTCCATTCACAAATGGAGCACTGGGTTCTACACAGGTGAATGCGTAGCCCAGTCTTTAACGTTATAAGGGCCTTTGGCTTTCTTTGTGTTACTCTGACTCTGGAAAGTCTTCCAAGGCAGTTCATTGGGCCACTGTTACAGGCACTGGTCATCTGCTTTGAATATTAAAATAATCCCATTCCTGTTATTAGAATGGAGTTAATGCATTCTTGAGAAAGCAGTAATGGTGGTGTGGAAGTCTAGGCATTTTGTCCCCTTTAATAGACTTTTAATATCCACTGCAACTAGATAAATAGCACAAATGGATGAACCCTTTTGCCCTGTGACTGTCGACACTAGACCTCTGCACATCATGGCATATTATTTTAGTATATTGCTCGTTGGTGGCCTAATGTATCGCACCAGAAATTATTCTTTGTCTTTGTCATGTCAGGTAGGTTCAGCCACTTGAAGCAAGGAATGAGGGGCAGCACTTACAAAGAAATAATTTAAAATATATTTTTCTTCAGATAAACATCTATCTTCAAAAGGTCACCATTGTGACATATAGCTATGGGTGGGAAAAGTGATCCTATTCTTCTGAACCTTCCCATTAAAATGCAAGAATACAAGGCCAATAATAACAGGTTGTTGCAATGGAGATAGTAAGGACTGCAGATGCTGGAAGCTAGAGTCAATAAATGTGGAGCTGGAAAAGTACAGCCGGTCGTACAGCATCTGAGAGCATGAATGTTAATGTTTCGGGCCAAAACCCTTTGTCAGGACTGGAGAGGGGAGCCTAGAAATAAATAGAGGGAGAGGTGTGGGGCTGGGGGTAGGGGAGGAGACATGGAGATAGGTGGATGCAGGTGGTGGTTGGTCAGTGGGAAGGGTGGAGTGGATAGGTGAGTAGGAAGACTGACATGGGGGTGTGGAGAGATTTTGATGCAGGTAGGGGTTTATTGTGGTTGGTAAGTGGGAAGGGTGGAGCGGATAGGTAAGACAAAAAATGAACAGGTTGAGGGGTGTAGAGAGTTTGAAGCTGGTGAAGTCAATATTCAGGTCATAGGGCTGTGAGCTCCCAAGGCAAAATATCAGGTGTTGTTCCTCCAGTTTATGTTCGACCTCACTCTGCCAGTGGAGGAGGCCAAGGGTGGACATATCACCAGGGGATTGGGAGTGGGAGGGGGAGTTAAAGTGGATGGCAACCAGAAGATCAGGTTGGTTGGTGCGAGCAGAGTGCGGGTGCTCTGCAGAACAGTCTGAGTCTGCGTTTGGTCTCCCCAGTTTTGAGGAGACCACATCAGGAGCAATGGATACAGTAGATGAGGTTGGATGAAGTGTAGGTGAATCTCTGGATTTAGAAGGATTGTTTGGGGCATTGGACAGAGGTGAGAGGGGAGGTGTAGGGGCAGATGTAGCACCTCCTGCGGTTTCAGGGAAAGGTACTGCATGTGGTGGAGGGTTTGTTGGGGAGCATGGAACTGACGAGAGAGTTATGGAGTGAATGGTCCCTGAGCAAAGCAGACAGGGGTGGGGAGGAAAATATCTTTCTGGTGATGGGGTCCAATGTTGGAGGATGATGTGTTGTATTAGGAGGTTGGTGGGGCGGTACGCAAGGTTGTTGCAATCTTTCTTGGAAGTAAGAAACGTTCTTGGTGGGTTAAATACGAAACTTATCTTTTTTTAAAAAAGTACTTTTAAAATTAATTCTGAAGATTGTTTGCAAATTATTTGGAAAAATGAAACTCAAGAATGATATTCCATTATGGTCTGAAGCCCTCTCCCAGGTTCACTTAGAGATCATAACAATTCTTGGGTAGACAAACAGGAGGCTGGGAGAACACAGCAAGCGACAGCAAATTGAGTCCTGAAGAAGGGTAATACCTGAAACATTGACTTCTCCTTTCCTCCAAATGCTGACAGGCTTGCTGTGTTCTTCCAGCCTCCTGTTTGTCTACCTTGGATTCTAGTGTCTGCAGTTTGTTTTTGTCTACAACAATTCCTACATTGTAACTTTTCACAGTGTATAGTTCAGACTGAAGTCTTAGGAATTGCAAGCTCATGCACAGTTAGTAACTCCAAGATCATTGACCTGAGCCATCAACTCTGTTTCCCTCTACAGATACTCTTAATTCTATATTAGATTTCTAGCATCTCCAATATTTTTGACTTCTGTTTTAGTTAGAAGCTTAATTTGTTGACCATGGTGACTTTAGAAAGAAAAGAAAAGCCTGGACGTTCGAAAGAGGCTGGAGCCTCCCAAGTATCGATCTCAACTGAATGTCTTCGAGACATGAAATAACTTGTCATGGATATTGTCAGCTATATGACTATTGTGCTTAAAATCTTATTTTCAACATTAGAACTTAAAATCATTTTTCCTCAATAGGTTAATTTGGAATCCAAAGAATTTTGAAAGCATACTTCGAATGGTTTGTGTTTCTTCTTTCTTTCAGAGTCATGGAGTCTTAGAGGTTTACAGCATGTAAACAGGCCCTTTGGCCCAAGTTGTCCCTGCCACCCAGTTTTCACAATTTCAACTAGTCCCATTTGCCTGCATTTGGTCCATATCCCTCCATACCTATCCCATCCATGTACCTGTTTAATTGTTTCTTAAATGACGTAATTGTACTCCCTTCCGCCACTACCTCTAGCAGCCTGATTCAGACATTCACCACCCTTCGTGAGAAAAAATTGCCCCTCTGGACCCTTTCGTATCTCTCCCCTCTCACCTTAAACCCATGTCTTCTAGTTTTAGACACCCCTACCATGAGGAAAAGCTGTCTGCTCTCTACTTTATCTATGCCTCTCACAATTTTATAGACCTCTATAAGGTCACCCCTCAGTCTCCAATGCTGTAGGGACAGAAATCCCAGCCTAGCCAACCCCTCCTTCTAACTCAAACCTTCCAGCTCAAGTAGCATCCTAGTAAGTCTTTTCTGCACTCTTTCTAGTTTAATAATAACAACTCTATAGTAGAGCAACCAGAACTGCTCGCAGTACTCCACGTGTGGCCTCAGCAATGTCTTGTACAGCTGCAACAAGACATCTCTAATACTCAATCCTCTGACAAATGTAGGCTGGCATACAGAAAGCTGCCTTCACCACCCTGTCCACCTGATTCCCCCGTTTCAATGAGCTATGTACCTGTATCCCTCGATTTATTTGATCTATATCACTCACCATTGACTGTGTAAGTCCTGTCCTGGTTTGTCTTACCAAAATTTAAAACCTTGAATTTATCTAAATTAAACTCCATCTGCCATTCTTCAGCCCACTGGCCCAATTGATCAAGGTGTCGCTGCTTTCCCGGTAACCTTCTTCACTGCCCACTATACCACCAATCTTGGTATCATCCACAAACTTACTAACTATACCTCCTAAATTCTCATCCAAATCATTTATGTAAATAACGAATAATAGTGGACCCAGTACCAATCCCTGTGACGCACCAATGGTCACAGATCTCTAGTCTGAAAAACAACCCTCTCTCACCACCCCTGTCTTCCACTGTCAAGACAATTTTATATCCAACTAACTAGCTCTCCCTGGATCCCATGAGATTTAACCTTACTCAACAGCTTACCATGCAGTACCATGTCAAAGGTCTTGAAAAAGTACATGAAGACAACTTTTACTGCACTGCCCTCATCTGCTTTCTTGGTCACCCCTTCAAAAAACTCAATCAAGTTTATGAGACACTATTTCCCACACCCAAAGCCATGTTGCCTATCCTTAATCAGTCCTTGTCTCTCCAAATGCGTGTCTCTCAGAATCCCCTCTAACAATTTACAAATTCATTGATCATCTTTAGGTATCTCATAGATATGTGATCTGTTAGATGTCCAAATATCCTCCACTAAAAAAGCATCTGGGCTTCTTGCATAAAAAAGCTGTTGTCTAAAGAAGTTTTTGCCTGGGGCCTGCATCTGACTGTTACTTATTGCAGATGCAAAGCTTCAAACAAACTGCATTCTTAGTCAAGGTAGTCTCTGATTTGGAGGCTATCATTAATTTATCTCTTCCTTTCTTGGTGAGTTTATGTGCAAAAGTGAACCATCCTGCTATAAGCTTAAGTGTTGAACTTTTCATTGCAGTTTATTTGATCTTAGGTTTCTTGCTTGAAATCTTATTCCTTTTTGATTTTCATGTCACATTGCTAGAATTTGTGCTTTTGAAGTGAACAGACTATATTGTTTTTGGCAGCTATGGTGGCTCTACTACCAGATCAATATTTTTGTTTCATGCCTATGTTGCATTGATTTAAAAAATTGCAGCACCAGAATTTGGGCATCTGATAATAGTTGCAGTATTAAAACCAGGATTTAACCAAGTCATACGAGATCTGATTCCTATTCTGTGCTGAGTTAACTGATCTCAGCTATATTTGCACGAGATGTAGTACAAATAGCTTCGGTGACTTTGGATTAGGGAACAGAAATACCATCCAGTGTTTCTGTTTCTGATCATTGCTGAGATTTGTGCATAAATGGGAATCAGAATATGTTTGAAACATGTTGCTTCAGGCTTGGATAGATTGCCTATTTCACCGCATAGTCTTGCATGTAGAAACGGCCAATTAGCTGATGCTGTAGACAACTGCATATGCCACCTTCAGGAGAGCAGTAATTTTTATATTTCCTATTTTTTTCTTAGCACGTTAATGTTTGAATTTTGGTATTCTGCATAGATGATCAATGTAGACAGAATTGAGGATAGTTTGCGTTGTCTTCTCACTCGAGTAAATCTATGAGCAGCAGATGGCCAAATAGAATGACAGCAGAATGTGATGTTTATCTGGCTGCATTCCAGTGGCTGAATGTTGAATATTGGGGTCCCTTAAAAACAGAGTTTTCCTAGTATTTACCGTGTAGCATGAGATCTCATTTAAAAGCTATTACAGTCGTAATTAACTTTCCAAAATTCTAGGATATGAAAACAAAGGGAAGAATTACACAAAACACAGAGATCACAATACCTGCTGAACTAATGTCAAAAATTTATCTGGCACCAAATGCACCCTACTAACCATTTGTTGTTTCAGCAAATAGTAAGTATTTCTTTGAAAGAATGGTGAGCTAACCCTAAAATCAAGGGGACAATGATTATCTAGCGTCATGAGTAGTTGTCTCATGGCCATTGGCCAAAAATGGTCAAACAGTTCATTGACACAGCGCAAGCTTCCTGCCCTGAAATTATGTTGTAATGATAAGCTGTCAGGGTAGAGGGATTTCCACAGAGAACAGTCCTTGTCAGGCAGATGGAACTGAAAGGAGAGGAGGAAGACTGAGGGAAGAGTTATCTAACACTTAGGCGAGAGAGGAGGATGCTGACCTTACTACTTTAACTTTAAGACCAAAATGACAGCCTGCTTGTCTTCTGGTATCAGTGAACCATCCCCACGCATCATGGTTATATACTTACTTTAACTAATTAACTAATGTATGATATCTGAACTGCCGCTTCTGAATAATCTCAATAAATTATTAGAAAATTACTTCCAAATTGTTGACTGCCTATATTCGGTAACTGTGATCAACAATGATGTTAGCCTTAAATTTTTTCTCATTACATCATATCTTGTGCTAGTATGCCTATGTGAACTTTGCAAGGCAGTACATAGCATAATCTATGTGCTTCTTGAAGTATTCTCCTCTTATTGAGACAAATTCTTTCAAATTCTGAACTTTATGTTGGCCTTAAAATCAAAGTTTAGGAGTTTGTGGTTGTTGTTTGGATGCAGAGGTTAAACAAACCAAGAGAATTTTTAGAATATTTGTCTTTTGGTATATGGTCCCTGATTTTTTTTTGAATTGAACTTCTTATACGCAGAATCCAATCCTTAAATTCTTTCTTTGATTGGTTTGCTTATTGCATATGAAAAATACTCGTATGCTTTCCTTATTTTTAACTTCGGAAACTTTCATATTGTCATCTGTCCTCAATGTAATTAAACATAGACGACAAAGAACCATAGGTAAGTCTCTATTAAAATGAACACTTTATACATAGCTTAATAGGCGCCACTAGGCGAGATAAGGCAAGGTGAGGAGCCAGGCTTCCCTGAGGTCATGTATTTATTAATGTGTGCCATACTTATGTAACATGAATACCCTCTGTGTACACTTGAGTCTACAATTTGGTTGCTGCTGTCCTGCTTTGATAAAGTTCTGCACGGTAGACTAATTAGTAAAGTAAAACCACATGGGATTCAGGTGAGAGATAGTAGGAACTGCAGATGCTGGAGAATCCGAGACAACAAGGTGCAGGGCTGGATGAACACAGCAGGCCAAGCAGCATCATAGGAGCAGAGAGGCTGACGTTTCGGGCCTAGACCCTTCATCAGAAAAGGGGGAGGGGAAGGGGGTTTTGAAATAAATAGGGAGAGAGTGGGAGGCGGATAGAAGAGGGATAGAGGAGAGGATAGGTGGAGAGGAAACAAACAGGTCAAAGAGGCGGGGATGGGGCCAGGAAAGGTGAGTGTAGGTAGGGAGTTAGGAAGGGGATAGGTCAGTCCAGGGAGGACGGACAGGTCAAGGGGGCGGGATGAGGTTGGTCGGTAGGAGATGGAGGTGCGGCTTGAGGTGGGAGGAGGGGATAGGTGGGAGGAAGAACAGG